AGAGTGCAGTCTCAGGAACCAGAGTCTGGGTTCAAATCCTACCTTTACCATTGTAGCAGGTTACATTTGTGATGGCCACAAATTTTTTGACACTCTTCTCATGGAGAGATGAGGGCTATGCCCCTCCCTTTGAATCTGAGATAACTATGTGACAACTCTCACCAAGGAATATAAAAATGACCCTGTCTCAGTTTCTGGCCTAGGCCTTGAAAACTGACAGCTTCCACTTCTTGTGTCTTGGAGCCTTAAACTACCATGTAATATTCAACTACACTGCTGCAGAGACCACATGGAGAGCCCTGAGACTGCAGGTGGGAAGAGAGGAGGACAGCTTATCCCAGTCTTACAGACTTCTCATCAAAGCATATGAATGAAGTGCACTATGGCTACTAGCTGGACAAGAGCAAATCATAGAAATCAATGCTAGCTGGGTCGGAAGAATCACCCAGGGTATCTCTACCCAAGTTTCCGAAGCACAAAATCATGATAGGTGATCAAATAGTTGCTGCTTTAAATACAAAGTTTTAAGGTGGTTTATGACACAGCAATAGAAAACCAGAACAAACCTTACTAGTTGTTTTGGTTTCCTCATCTCTAAAATAGAGACAATATTTATTGGATTGCTCTGATGATTAAATGAGTTGGCAATACAAAACACTTACATGGATACTGGGCATATAGCAAGTACTCTGCAAATGTTGGCTCCTGTTAGGCTTGAATAACAATTCTGGCTGCAATCTGAGATGGGGAAGTCTGAGAATGGGTTCCATGTCCTCTAATTCTCTAGGGAGTTTGGTTCAGCATCTCCCAGGAAAGTGGCCCCTTTATGGAAGGCTCATGTTAAAATGACCCAGCCAGGAAGCATTAACAATGCTTCTAACAATAAAGCATTAGAGCTCTGTGTTTCACCCAAGAACAGCTACTGCCTTCCCTCAAGCCCAGTATTTCCCATTCTTCAGGTCAGTGGAGCCTGGACTGGCTCCCAACACTGCTCCCAGCTCAGCAGCCTCAGTGTGCATGCAGCTCCTCACACTCTCCTCAAATCATACCAACCCCATCTTCAACTTTCACTCTTATTATACTTCCTTTGCCTCAATGAGTGCACACCTTCTCTCTGTCATTACAAACTCCATCTCAAGCACTTGAGAACTGAGCAAGCTCCAAGTTTCCCAAAAGGATATGCTGGGCAACCCTAGTCCTTCAAGGCGTTCCACAGTGGGAGAGTTCTGCAGACACTGAAGTTTGGGAAACACCAGACATTATGTCCACTAAATTTCCTTCAATAATTATAATTCGATTTGCAAATTAAAAGCCTTAAGATATTATGCCATTCGGAAGCCTATTTAACTTTGTGTTATCCAGATTTTCAGAAACACATCTTGACTCTGAAACACTTTTCTGGAAAAAAAAAAAAAAGGTTTCTTGGAAGGAGGAACTGCTAAGCTGAGCCCTGGAGGAGTGGAATAGGGAAGCATGTGAAGGGAACAGAAAAGGAAGTCAGAAGATGGTCAACCTGATGTGGCAGGAAGGCAAGTCAAAGAGGGCTGAGTTTAAGATCTGAGGGCCACGGAAACCTCCTGAGGGCTTTAAGCAAGAGCTTATACCATCAGAATTGCATTTTGTAAACATCACTAACTCATTTTATAAAGATCACTAACTCTCACTAATGATCTTTATGTTTTGATTGGAGACCTATAGTAAACAAAACATGGTGCATTATTACCTAATATTTATAAAAAATTATAAAAGTTTTGTAAAATGGCTCTTCCTGTTACATGCACTGCCCGTTGATGTTTTCTATTATTTTTTCCTCTTTTTGGAAATCACTTTTGTGAAACTGTCCCATAGTTTAGGCAAAAAAAGATGGGGACCTGAACCTTGTAATACCTGAATATAAATGTGTTGAGGTCCCTCATCTTCTCCCTGGTGTGCTGAATGAATGAGTGATTTACTCTAAGACAGGCAGAAGAAACTATTCCTAATTCTTCTGCTAAGAAGCATTTAACACATTTAACCTCTGTCATGATTTCCCTTGTTTCTTGTCACAAGTAAGACATTATAATACTGTTGAGGACAAAGTAAGTTAGATTTATTTTGCTCCCTAGGATGGCACTGGGCACATTGGCAGATACAGCATGGGTGCTTCAAACACACTCATTGATTGTATTGCATTGCACAGAACTGATGAGTTTTCATCCATTGCAGGGCAAAGAAATTTAGCAGGCTGAGATACAGTAGCAAGCTTCACCTAACTATTGAGCATGTTTCTGCTGGTGTTGAGTCACCTGGAAAACAACTGTTCCTGTGCTCTGTTGGCTCAGGAATGAAGTGCCTACATTACAGGGAAGTGCCCTGGGCTTCTTGCTGCTTAATCCTCTGCAGTCAAACCTCCCAGAGTGTGAGGTCCAGGAAAACAGCCACCATGTTTGCATTCCTCTCCTTTTCTTCCCACAAGGTTCTCTACTGTGTTTCTGTCCTTTCCAGAGCTGCCGTCTGCTCTCACTTCTGAGGCCTTCCTGCTACAGGACTGGATCCAAAGTTGAGCTCAATCTCACCTCTTCCTCCTTGCTGTCTCTGAAAATGAAGGTTCTGTCCTTTATAGTTGAAGGGCTTCACTGCTAAACAGAGAGCAAGCCACAAACCATCAAATGTGGGCATCACAAAAAGAATCCCAGGATCTCACAAAGTGTTCTGTAGTGCCTAGAGTAGTCATTGGTGACCCTCACTCCTTCCTGAGGGTGAATTTCGCCAAGCCTCCCTTCCCCCATCATCACCTTTGTCCAGATAAGGTGTTCCACTTCCTGCTTGAAGGTCTGTAAAATGCAACTAATCATTGAACAATAAATGAGTTAGTCACCGTCCACGTATTTGAAGTCTCAGAAGGGTGACTATCTTTTAGTGTTTCTCCTTCTCTACACAGAAAATAAATGACCTCGGAACTCGCCTCACAGTTACTCACATCCCACATCATCTTAAAAAACCCTGGGAGAAAATGGAGTGTGGTCCATTGTATCCTTTAGTTTCAACCATTCACTCAGTTGGTATAGACTGTCAATTCCAGTTGCTAGTCTAAAAAATCTAAAACATCCGGACTGTGGGTTGACCAGTATTATTCAAATGTGGTACAATGTCATTCAGGGTGGTGACTTCTAGAGGCAGAAAGAAGGGGCACTGCCTTGTGCCAAGGTGGCATCTCCAGTGGTTAATTCAGCCCTTACATCCCTAGAAGCTTTGTCTTTTTCCAAAGGATTGCTCCCCAGACTCTCTAGGAAAGCTGGTAGGTTGTAAATACAGCTCATTAGCAACTGCTTGGAGTGATGGGAAACAATCCTTAGTGAAGTGATTACAGTTCTTATCTACTGCTGGTAGGGACACAGCTGGCTTTTCTTTCCTCCCATCTGCTTTTCTATATAGCTGACTTTTTTGCAAAAAGAAAAAATACATACATATATGATCTTGTAATAAGAAAAATATCACAATTGTTTATAGGTCAGAAAGAAGTATCTCTCACTGTATCCAGATACTGTATACATAGTACCATTCTACTGAAAATAATTTTTTTTAATTTCTAAAAGAGAAAATCTATTAGAAGGCCATAGCCTGGGTTTTGGTGACACAGTCTTGATTTAAAATTTTAGCTCCCCCATATAATGCTGGAATGACCTTGCATAATATACTTAGCCTCTCTGAGCTTGAGTGTCTTAACCTGTAGAAGAGGTGTACCTTCTTCACGAAGAGTGAGGAGCAGTTAAAGTGCTTCTTTGTGCTCAGTATATTGTGCACACTCAATAAACACTTACTGTTTCTCTTCTCACCCCAAACCTGACAGCTCCGAAAGTATCTCTACAGAGAAACCAGTACACACTTCTTAGAATCTTTAGAAGGAGCCTCATCGCCCATCCACACTGACTTCTCTGGAATCTGATCCACAGCTTCCTTGGCCAAAAGTCCCTGAGCCTTGGCAAAGTGCCCCTCACTGCTTCTCTGGGAGGGACAGAAAACCCCATTGCCTGACAGGAATCACCACCATCATAATAATAATTCTTTTTATTCAGCTAAAACTTGACTCCCTATAAAATTCTACCTATTGTTAATTCTAACCTCTAGACTTTCATTAAAGAATTAGCAGGCTCCCTGTTCCACTCCTTAGACCTTTGTAACACCAGTACCAAGCAGGTCATGGCCTAATGTACAGCTTGGTCTAGGCATGACAGAGAGCTTCTTCAGTGACACAAAGTATCACAAGTTAGTAACTGAATCTTGACCCTGGCCATTGCAGAGTTTGCAGTAGGGGTCCATCTTACTGCCTCCTTCATTCCCTAGCTGCTCTTCCAACTTTGCCTGCTTGGCCTCCAGTCTACTCTACAGTGTCCTTTCTCTCTTCTACCCAACACCAACATTCCTTTCCCCTTAGAAGGCAGAGGTTTTTATTCCTTCATGGAAGATGTAGTTGAACAGGATGATTGCAAAACCATTTTCTAATTCCACCATATCATGTAGGAAAAGAGATAGAACTTGATGCAGTAACAGGTATAGAAATACAGCAATCAGGCAATAAAATGAATAGTTACACAGATTTTATTGTTTAAAAAGTCCTATAGGCCTGAATTTAGTGTTAGTCAACTAGACCATTAAATTCTTACCTTTGTATTGAAGAAAACAGAATCTTTTTTGAATAATCCTTACATTTCAGGCTTGCAGTGGAAAAAACAAAGACACATACTGTCCACCACGAAGTACTTCAGAAACATCAGTTTAGCTAGGTTGTAATTGAATTTATACAGTGATTTATAAAGAGCCTTGGGAAAATATTTCTTTATTTGGGCAGGGACACTGCCAGATTAAAGGTGCAGTAGTTCCAAATGCTGTTTGTTCCAGCCCTGTGCCCGATTGCAACAATGTGAGTGTCTTGTCTGCATAGGTGGATTATTAACAGAGGTTATTGGTCTCCATGGCAAAATGACTGCACTGAACATAATCTCATTTATGGGAGTGCAAAAACAAAAAGGGGGGGCTCCAGGTCAGGGAGAATGTATAAATATCCATCGTCATCGAGGTTCTGCTGTATTTGAGAAGCTGAAGCAACTCCACGGACACAGTTCACAGGCTGATTTGCTTCTCTGCTCCAAATACGGATTGAATTGGGGACATTTACTAGAACCCTCTGGCCGACAACTTTGAAGAGACACTGTGAAGGAGGCAGTGAAGAGAATTTCTCCCAGCCCATCCCTGTACTCTTCCAGCATGTGCACTGGGAGCTGTGCCAAGTGCCTGGGGGGCACGCTGATTCCCCTCTCTGTTTTTGGCTGTCTGGCTAACATTCTGTTATTTTTCCCTGGAGGAAAAGTGATAGACGACAACAAATACCTTTCAGAAGAGGTCTGGTTTTTCGGAGGAGTATTAGGAAGCGGGGTCTTGGTGAGTAGGAAAGCCTTAAAATCCTCCTCGAGGAGATTTTTACCCCATTCTTCTATCAGGATACTTCATTGCTAACAACAGCCTAAGCATTGCATGATGAATGAAGTCAATGCCTTAATTTTTCCCTTCTCCATTAGCACCTGACAAGGAGACCATGCCCCCCAAATTTACTAAGTAATTTAAACTTGGGCTGGTAGTTCTCGAGGTTCAATTAAGTTCCAGGAATTATCTAAAGGCCACAGAATTTCTTTATTCTGACAGGACATGGTGCTGGGGTGAGAGCAGTATGTGGGGGGGGGTGCATGTAGAAATACACTTTCTAGCCAACTGATTGACTAAACACCCCCCAGATAGGCAGGTGTCAGTAGAATCTTCTTCCATCCATGCATGGATTTCTTACCTTTTTTTCTCAATAGAGATTGGGAACTTCTGCTTTAGAGAGAGGTACTTTTCATGACAATTGAGGACACATTTTTTTTCTTTTCCTAACCTACCATCTAAATGTAAATTTATGTTGTTAGATATTGAAATCTTGATCCATTGAAACTGCAGCATGGCCAAATGGCATCTAAATGTTCAATAACACTTGCCCACCCTATCAGCCATGCCCTGTTAGTCCCTTTGGCCACCAAATTCCAGGTCATAGCTGTGACTTCTCACACACACAGACAGGTATGAGTCTTCCTTTCACATCTCAGAGCCATTCTGAGTTGCTTCTCTTGCTCATAGATGCTCTTCCCCGCACTGGTGTTCCTGGGCCTAAAGAACAATGACTGCTGTGGGTGCTGTGGCAACGAGAGCTGTGGAAAAAGATTTGCGGTGAGTAATGGGGGCGGGGCGGGGGGAAGGGGAGGGTAGGGGGCCAGACATGAGAATTATTCCAGGGCACACTGTCCCCTGGTGTTAGGCATTTTGAGCTGAAGATGAGTAATCAACCCCAAGCAAGACTCTGGGGACAGCGGGTAAAGGGATAGAAATTAAATTCTTCCTGTGGACGGAAAGTAACAATAAAAGTACATTTTAACACACAAGTGCCCTCTTATTTATAGGGAATGAGTATCATTTTATATTTTAAAAACAAGCAGGGATGTCTGAGCCGGAGAGCTGCATGGTGCCATATAAAGAATGCAGGCTGAGAAGGGGACTGGACCTCTCCCTCAGCCATGAGAGGCCCTGAGACCTTAGACAAGTCATTTCCTTCTCTGGTCCATCAGTAAAAGGGAACATTCCCTTCCCAGTAGCCCCCTAAAGTCCCCATCCACATCATTGCTAGGTCTCTGTCTCAGTGCCCAGCTCTTCCCACTTCTCCCTGGATTTTGCCTCAGGACTTCTACCTTCATGTAGCCACCCATCTTTTTGCAGTGGGCAGAGAGATTAGGCATCACTGTTCTATGGTGGGGTGGGAAGAATTCTGGGACAGAGGGTCGGGCTTCACTTCCACAAATAGGCAGGTTACTATGCTGCTCTTTGCCTTCCTTTGCTCACCTGTAATAGGAGGAAGTTGGACTAGATCAGAATTTCCTAAGTTTGGGACACACTCTGCTTGTTGGTACATAGATGTGCTGTATTTTTCAATAACATGGAAAGTCATTCCTTTTCTCTTTCAACCCTTTGATTTTATCACACAAAATTCTTATTTTGATGGAAAGAAGTCTTGACTTTTTCTAAACATTTATAATCTCCCTTTCCAACAAAAAAAAACATGCATTCAACTCCACGAATGCAAGCAATATTAACGAAGAATTCAATGATATTGTGTTGTGTTTGCTGAAGATTCTAGTTTTCTATTCAGACAAATTAAAGAAAAGTATTAAGAGTTCAAGAAGTTGATATGACAAAGACAAAATAGAACTGGAATGAGAGAATGATGATGAGTAAGGCCAGCTCCTGCTCCACTCTCCCGAGGTTCAGTTGTCTACCTAAGAGACTCACGTACCCTAGTGATAAACTATACCCACTCACCTGAACTTCTTAAAGGGAGAGCTCTTCTTCTGAAACAAAATCATGTCATCATTCTTTGTAACCATATTTGCTCATTTGTGCCATCAAAAATATTTATTGAGCACACACAAAGGGCTGAGGCTGGTACATTGTGCATACCACATGGATTTCCATGTAAAATCAAAGATCATGCAAAGAAAACGATCACACCTTCTTCACATCATCTTGAGTCCCAAGTAAGCATGAATTATTATAATGACCTTTAAATCACAATTTACAAAGAGTTGTAAAATAACCACAGTTTGATCTGATTATACTATATGTATTAAATGTGATATTTTTAAGGAATTAAATAGGAAAAATATAAAACTAATTTTCCCTTTTAAATGTAATTCTGTTCAACTTGGGAGACTTGAAGGAATAAGTTGAAGATGAGAATTTGAAAAAGAACAGCAATTAAGGAAATTGGGTAAAAAGAAACAAGACTCACTTCTTACAGATCTACCAGCTCATTCCCTGATGCTGAATAGAGATGAAGATTAGCCCATTAAAACAAGGGGTTTTATTTGTTTATTCTTATTTTTTGTTTTACATACAACGAGAGCGAGAAGTGAAATAACATTCAAGGTATTGTACAAAGTTTGTTTTCTAGTTAGATTTATGTGAAGTCCAAGACAGAGGCTGAAAAGTCACACCTTTAAGTTTTATTATTATTTTTTTCTTCACCTGAGGACATGCTTATTGATTTCAGAGAGAGAGGAAGGAAGGAAGAGGGAGAGAAACATCAATGCAAAAGAGAAACATTGATTGGTTGCATCTCCTATGCACCCTGACGAGGGACCAAACCTGAAACTTAAACATGTGCCCCCTGACCAGACACTGAATTCATGACCTTTTGATTTATGGGATGACGCTCCAACCAACCAGGGCTGAAAAGTCATGTTTTTACAAGAACAGTTAAGTCAATATGATCTGAAACATATGGTGGGTCCAATTCAAGTTGTCCCTCTGAGCTCCCTAAACCACCCACTCATCCCTGAATACCTGATATGACCTGCCCTTGGTGTGATTGAGGGTGACACCTCCAAATGACTGGCTGATTGTCCACAGGCCGTGCTGGAACCGGTGGACAGCAGAACCATTTCTTGTTTTTGTCTTGTTTGTTTGTAATCCAGCTGCCAAATTTTAAAAATAGCATTCACTAAAAGTATGTGCATACCTTACATCTTTATCAAAAATTAAAATATTACCGTGGCAGTCCTAGGCGTGTGCTTGGCACGATGGCCTGTGCTGGGCAAGGCTGAGCCAGCCTTTGTTTAGCGTCCCTGTCCTGCCCCTAAGAGCCATGGACCCAGGTCGCTGCTCTGGTGCCCTGTTTCCTTATTGTTCTGAGGGTCTGGAGCAAAGCAATAACCATTTTATGAAGAAAGGTATTTACAAACATTTTATCAGACAAAAAGAAAGAAGCAACAGCATAATCTGATCGGTGCTATAACACGGAAAGATTTGAATTATGTCCCAAAGGCTCACAGCATTCTCCTCCAGGTGTTTAAGGAACACCGGGCTTCTGTGGAACATTGTTCAACAAACCCTGCTGGGCAGAAAGGCCCCGGAGCATAAACGCACCAGGCCATTTGTGTGGGGGGTGGGGCTAAGGCCTGTTGCAGTCTGAAGGCCTTCCTCTCTATCCTTCCCTTCCTTTCCTAGCCCCTCTCTCTCCTCTTCTTTGCTATATTTTTCTGGAATATTCTTCAGAAGTCAGCTGCATCATTCTCTTTCCTTTCTTTGGGTAGTAAAACCAGGAACAAGAATCGCCAGTAGAAGCAGGATGAGGTGACTGTAGACCTGAAAAAAATTGTAATTGATAGTTCATGGTGAAACCAGAAAATGGAGATACACTCTCCTCCAAGGAAGAGCAAGATGGGAACCCAGCCCCCATCTACCCTCTTCTGCCTTCTTCAATGAGCTGGACTAAGTGAGGGTGGGGGGGGGGCACTTCAAAGGACCTGGGTTTATTTTCAGGTCTCAACCTCTTCCTCCCATACTAGAGGTTCTTCTGCCCTGTGATCCTTTTTAAACATTGATCTCTCAGGGTTCAGTGGGACTGCTAATTAATTTCATCAGCTCATTCGTGTTAAGTATGTAAGTAAGTAATAGGAGCCTTTTGAAGGCCTTGACTCAAAGAGCATCTTTAATAATGGAAATGAAGGTAGACTGTTAAGGAAATATGTTAGGGGCAGGGACACATTTCAGCATCCTTTTTACATAGATAAGGGTCCATCCTGCCCATAGGCAGGGCCAGAGGGCTGATAGGCCTGTTGACATGAAGATTTCAGTCAGGCCCTAAAGGAGTGTTTCATTATAGAGTCCTCAGGAGGGCCCCTAGGGATGCCCCTTGTGTGAGCATTTCTGGGGTGGGCATTTCAGCTAGTTTGAGGGGTATTTAAGAAGAGAGTTCTTTTGAAATAATAATCTTCAAAGTAGAAATATAGTACGGAGACTCCTTCATCGTGATATTTTTTATGCTATAAAATTAATCATAGCACTTGCTACCTTTTATAGGAACATTGCAAGGTTTGGGGGAAGATGTATTAGTGTGCCAGGAAAGGGAGAGTAATACCAAGTGCCTTAGGTATCGAGGACAAATGTTCTCAATAAATGCTTGTTGGATGAATGAAGTAAATGAACACTCAGGAGGGATTTCAGGTGATTTCCAAACTTACAGTTTCAATTCTCATAAACCTTTCAGTTAGGCATTGAACACCCCACTTTATAAATAGGGAATCTGAGGCACATGACATTATCTTTCTGACTGTAACACTTGTCTCTGCCATCTGTCCCCACTTCCCTGGCATTGCTGAGGTACAAAATATAGGACATTACCATTTTAAGTGGGGTGGGGGAAGCAGGTAATCTCTATATATCTTTTAGCATAATTGGTAAGGAGGAACCTCCTTGTCTACCAGAGATGTTTCCGCAACATGTTGCTACTACCCAAGTCTCTAAACACCATGTCCCAAACCACCCATTTTTACTCCCTTCCCAGTCCCTAGTGCCTCTTTCCTCTGGTTCAGCAGACATTAGTACACACCTGACCAAGGACCCACTGTGGATGGGGACAGAGCTGGGGTCCTACCAAAGTGGTCTGCTCCCACAGCCCAACAGAAAGGGGAGTCTTAAAGCTGACAAGTGGTGAACTAAAGCGCATCTGATTAGAAGATATTTTTATCTCCCATTTCAAGGGAAGGGTTTACAGCATATACATAAACAAATTTCTTTATCAATGTGGACAGAACAGGTGTGTTGAACAGCCATAAGGGAGTTAGCATTTTTACTTTTGTTTTCCTCCTCAGGGTTATGCTTTCCATATTGTATTTGTAGAAATGAATGTGTCAGGATATGATAATAAAAATGTTATGATATAATAATAACATTACAAGTGCTTGCTAATGACGTGGGAAATTATCTGAAACGTGGATGTAAGCAAAAGAGATTTCTGGGTATCCCATCAGTGAAGTACTGGGCACTATCTATTGTAATAACCCACCTATCTGGGGTCATTTGATGTCCTATTCACTATTGATTAGACAATCTTATACATTATGGTCTCCCTCAGGCAGGTACCTTTTATTGAGCCTTATTTTACAGAATGGAAATGGAGGTCTCAGAAAATTAACTTACCAAGGTCAAAAGGGAGTAATAAGGACTCAGACCCAGAATGGTCTGCCTGTAATTCATGCCCATGACCATTGCACTCTAGTGTCCCTCTTTAGCATTTATTCATTTAGCTGAGGAAAAACATTTTCACAGCACAAAGACTACAAAGGAAGCTTCCTACTCCTGACTCCAGACTCTGGCTTCTTCTCTTCTTCTCCCCT